AGGGGACAACATCAGGCTTGCCCGTGATAAGCCATGGGATGACACACCAAGGTTTGAGGGATGGGGTGCTAGCGAGGGCCCTCAGCCTGTTGCTGCGAGACATGCTGGGTACACTGGAGCACACTTGTAGTCTTAAGGAGGCGAGCCAGGGGCTGCTGAGGTAATAGGAGTCAACAGGGAAACACCGGTGAAATACCTCAAACTAATTAAGCTGTGTTCCTCTAAAAAGATGACACAGCTGACAGCCCATTTGAAATGCCTCTACACCAATGCATGCAGCATGGGCAACCAACAGGAGGAGTTGGAAACCACCATGCTGCTAGAAAGCTATGACCTAGTTGCTGTTACTGAACTTGGTGGGATGAGCGCCATGACTGGAGCGCGGCTGTTGATGGCTACAGGCTGTTCAGAAGGGACTGGCGAGGAAGGAGGGGTGGAGGGGCTGCCCTCCACATCAAGAAATGAAGAGTGAGAAAAGTTGTCTTGGAACAACAGCCATGAGCAGGTTGAAACCTCATGGATAAGAATTGGAGACCAAGGCAACAAAAGGAACCTTGTGGTTGGTGTCTACTACTGGCCACCTGATCAAGGGGATTCTCTTGACAAAGCCTTCTTACTTGAGCTACAGGAGGCATTGCAATCACAGGCTCTCATCCTGCTGGGGGACTTCAGCCATGCTGACATCTGCTGGAGAAGTGGCACGGCGAGCTGTAGGCAATCCAGGAGACTCCTGCAGTGCATTGAGGTTAACTTCTCAAACCAGGCAATAGACAGCCCTACCAGAGGGGATGAGTTACTGGACCTGTTGGTCACCAATGCAAGTGAGCTAATCAGAGATGTCAAGACTGGAGGCAGCCTGGGCTGCAGTGATCATGCACTAGTAGAGTTCACAGTCCTGAGGGATACGGGACAGGCAATGAGTAAAATCAAGACCCTGAATTTTAGGAAAGCAAAATTGCAGCTGTTCAAGTAGTTAGTCAATAGGACCCCCTGGGAAAATGCCCTCAGGGACAAGGGAGCAGAACAGAGCTGGCAGATCTTTAGGAACGCTTTCCATAGGGCGCAAGAGCTCTCGATCCCCACGTGTAAGAAATCAGGAAAGGAAGGCAAGAGACAAGCATGGATGAGTCAAGACCAGCTGGTCAAACTAAGAGCAAGGAGGAAACGCACAGGCAGCGGAAGGAGGGACAGGTGGGAAGATTATAGGGATGCTGCCTGGTTGCATAGGGATGGGGTCAGGAAGGCCAAGGCGCAGCTGGAGCTGAACTTGGCAAGGGATGCAAAGAACAATAAGAAGGGCTTCTATAGGTATGTCAACCAGGAAAGGAAGGTCAAAGAAAGTGCACTCCCCTGATGAACATGATTGGCAAACTGGTAACAACTGGGAGACTGGGAGAAGGCTGAGGTACTCAACAATTTTTTTGCCTCAGTCTTCACTGGCAATCTCTCCTCCCACACCTCTCAAGTGGATGGACCACAAGGCAGGGACTGTGGGAGCAAAGTCCCTCCCACTGTAAGAGAAGATCAGGTTCAAGACCATACCTCATTTCATGCTAATCTATACTGCATTCATTTTTGCCTTCAAAACTAGGCTCTGATTTAAAGCTGTACCTGTCTTCATCTGTTTCTCAGCTGTATGGTAGGGACTCTTCCTGAACCTCAAGCCAGCTCAAGCTTCATGAAGGGTAGGTTTCCTGTGTCCACACAGTGAAGGAGAAAACTTGGAAAAAAAATACAACATAATTTTGTATTGTGCTTTCATGAGAGATCACAAGTGCATTTGCCATACTCTACCACAAAACCTTCATCGGTAGCACAGCCAAACTCAATCCTAACATGAAGGGGCTTTACAGCATTTATGACATTCTGGGTCATTTCAATAATTGCCTTAAGATACTGAAACAGGAGTTTATAGACCAGTTTTATAATAGTTGATAAACTATTACTGTGCATCTCAAGGCAAGTATAGGTATGCAACAGTTTTTCAGTTAGCTATGTATCTATCCTGCATTTGAAAAACTGAGACTCTACTGCACATTAACTGGATCTTTTTGCTTTTTTTCCCTCACCTCTGCAGGCAGATTGTTTTAACCCGATTCCAGCACAGCAGCGATCAAGGTGTAGCTCACCAAGCTCCACCGGGCCCTCGGAGCCGGGTTACAAATTCACAAACGAGGATGCACAAAGTTCATTGCCTTTCTGCCGACTCCTGAACCGTCGCTGCACCTCTCTGCTGTGCCAACCCCAGGCCTGCTCCTAGGCAAGCTGAGGGAACGCCAGGTTTATCGGGAGCGCCTACCGCAGCACGCAGCCTAGCCTTTTTAAGTGAATTTTTATTTACTTCACGTCAACGAAGTAAACACAGCTTACAGCACCGCCCAGCAGCAATCCAGACCCAAACCTGGCAGAGCCCGGCGGGACGCAGAGGCCTGCGCTGCCCCTCGGTCTCCCCTTCTCCCTCGGGAAGGGGGAATAGGATGCTCGAGATGGCGGAAGCTGCTGGACCGGGCCTCGACGCCCGACGCTAGCCGGGGCGAGGTGGGGTGGGTGGCCGGCCCTC